AGATGCTGGCTGATATTCTTATTAAAATATGGGAATGGTAATGATTCCTCATTATTTGCTAGGATACTGATGGCCAGCAGCGTCCTTGCAACCAATGATCCCCTGCGGGCAGCTGTTGGGTTCCCGACAGCTTCTCAGCAACTGTAAGATAGCAATTCCTTCTCTTTGGGGAGATTTATTCTCATTTGCTGTTGCATGCCCAGGAAGGAAAGGGAAATCTCACTAACAGGACAGAGAGCAAAAAATAACTTGATAGGACTTTTACCCTTCCCTACTCAAAAAAAAAAAAAAAACACACCCTTTAGCTATACAGACAGTTAAACCTTATGTATTTATGCCAACATATTTGTATAGACAGTACGCATAATGAAATTGTACTTTTGTTCTTTAGCTATGAATGTACTTGCAACTCACATTAGCAAACACAGCCCTGTAACTTTTATGATATTCTTTTTGCAAAATGAGAAAACAGAAATCAGGTACTCCTAAGTCCCAAGTTTTATAAATAACTGATATACAAGTATATAACATGAAGTGCAGAATTCTTATAACAAAACGTAATTCTAAATATACAAACAATTGAAAATGTATATAAACAAAAACATGGTTCTCTCAGAGTTTACCAAGTTATAAAACATCTAGAATAGCAAAAAGTGGTTAACTAGAACACAAACCGGTTAAAAAGAGAATGATCTAAATTAAGAAGAATGTTTTGTGGTATGTATTTGTCCAGTAGAGTACCAAGGCTGCTGAAGTCCATATTTTCCAGCTGTGTGCACAGGATGACATGTAGAAAAATGACCAAAAGTGTAAAATGATGAATACACCTGAACCCCTATCTGGTAGTGTGAAAGCATACAACAGGGGCATTTATAAAGCTCAATCAGGCTATTTACGAGAACATGCATTTAGTCAATTATTTACTTTAAAAAATTGTCATTATGTTTTATAAATACTACACCTTTCAGGAAAAAAATATGCAAGGTGCAGGAATTACCTGAGCAGGTTCTATAAATGTCTCCCAACAGGTCCCAGTTTATCAGAGCCTGAAAAACTGTGCCCCGAACATCCTAATTCTCCCTTTCTTGTCTCAGTGCCCAATAGTTTCCTCTTCACACCGATATTTAAACCCACTTTAAGCTCTCGCCAAGTAATCTACCCCTATGACGCAATAGCAGGATATGTCTATTCTTTCAGAGCGTACAAATACACAAATATCAACTTACTATCTTAAGTTAGCTCTTGGACTTGCCCCCTTCCAAGTGCCCAATAAACTTAAGGGTGGCCTGGTTAAGGCAGTGAGCCCAAATGCCAGCATGAACTAGAAATTGGAAATCTCCATATCGGAGCGTCCCAGTTTTTCGGGTTCCCAGGGTGCACTAGAACATGCACACAATACATTGGGGGGCTTGCTATTACTCCGCAATGGTAAATAACATGGGATCTTGCTACGGGTTTGCTTTAGGGTAATTTTCTATATTTTTTTCAAAAATAATGAAATGTAATGTAAAAGGCAGTGGGACTTAAAGTGCATACTGACCAAGCAATAGTTTGTTCATTTTATAATTCTTTTTGTCAATAGGTTTCAGGCAGCTGTCTAGGCAGTGCTTACTATGTTCCACAGCATACTGGTATATTGAATAGAAGTAAGGATACCCAGGGCAACTGGATTCGTAAACCCTTATATGTAACTGCCCAAGAGAATGAATAAACAGTATCTGTTAGAATCTGATTGCCATAGAAAACACTGCCACTTTCATAAAATATACCTGTTCAGTATAAAGTTCTGCAACTCCAATGCCTAATTTGAATTCCCTCTGAGCTCTTTGCTCCTTATTGATGCACTATGCTGCTTTGTTATACTATAATTCCTTCATATAAATGTCTACTGTGACAATGGAAGAGAAGTATATAGAGCTAAACTTGCTGACATGTTTTATTTATGGTCTGACAGAATATTCCCTTGGACATCTTCATCCACACTTTCCTGGGAACTTGGAGGGCTTGAGCTGTCACATCCTGGCTGCCAATAATCATGAAGTTTCCCCTGTATTAAGGCAAAGGATATAGTTAGAAGTAACATAAATGCATCAAACAGGTACTGCTAGGATGTTGTCACATAAGCAGGAGCATACAGCATTTGTTTTATTATTGCAAGGGCAACATATAAAATACAAATCGGAACAAATAAGAGCAGTTGCCAATAGCAGTCTATCCCTTTCCCTGATGCATTTTCACAGGTGATAAAAGATGAAACCCCATTGGTTACTATGAGAAACAGCGGTTTTTTAATCCAGTTTTTCTTTGCCTAGTTTTTTTTTTAACTGGACTGCCAAGCTATAGACATGGCAAATTCGTTGGTGCCCTTACAGGTCACTGAAACAATGCTTCATTCCTCCTACAAAGTAATACAATTTAAAGCAATTGTCTCCTGTATACCTGCATGCCTTAAAGTAAAGAAAGTGTGAAAAGAGATAAAATTACTGCTTATTCTACAATGATATTCTAAAATGGCCTGGATACATTTGATGGCACCCCTAAAAAATAGGATTTTGGTACTCACCGTAAAATCCTTTTCTCTCCGTTCATTGAAGGACACAGGGAACAGATCGGAGATCATGTACTGTAGGGTAATATCGCCACCTGCAGGAGAAGGACGCTAGGCACAAAAAAACTAAAGACCAATTACAGCCTAGTCGGCGCCAGCAGCCTGAGGGAAGTGCTGTGACTGGACGGCCGAGACCCCCAGTCATATGCACCCCCCTGGGACGAACCCACAGGCCACCCCGCCGGAGCGGGGCCGTCGTAGCCGACCCACCGTAGCGGGCCTGCATACGCTCGCTGGTTATCCAGGGGAGACTCCAAGGATCCGAGACATCCAGCCTGTCGCCCAGACAACACTTGCTAGAAGAATCAGGTAAGAATACCGAGGAAAATTCTTAGCTCCTTACTCCTGACGCTAAGCAAAAAACTGGAGACTTCTCAGTAGGTGGGGGGTTTGGCCACCGGCAGGGGCTGCCCCTAGGCTGTAATTGGTCTTTAGTTTTTTTGTGCCTAGCGTCCTTCTCCTGCAGGTGGCGATATTACCCTACAGTACATGATCTCCGATCTGTTCCCTGTGTCCTTCAATGAACGGGAGAGAAAAAGATTATTATTTTTTTTTAATCAAGAAGATTTTTATTTTCATTTTGTCGTACAATACACTGCAAGATACGAGAGGTGCATACATTTATGTTAGTTGACATGACTAACGTACAAAAGCCCCAATTACAACAACAGCCTTCGTATTTCCCAGGGGGCACTTTACAGTGATTGTGTGATTAACGATTGCCTATAAACATTTAAGAAAAATTAAACTAGAACAATCAATGAACATTGTATGTGATGAATTTATCAGGTGAAAGTGTTGGCGAATGCATGGGGCCATGTACTACCCGTACACCGCCCACGTCATGCCTTGGGGAGAGGAAAGATAGAAAAAAAGATTTGAAATAATTGGATCATAGTGAGATTTCAAGCCGTTTCTGTAATTAGTATCACATGTGTCTTTAATCCAGTAATCTGTCAGTATTTTAAATGGAGAAAACTAGTCGCTCTTCTTTTTGGTTTCATCACGTACACTACACAGAACATGGACCAGAGAAAGCAAAGGAGAGAGTTGTTTGAGATCATCAGAACAAGGTTGATAGAAGAGCATCTCAAAAATAAAGTCCATCTCCTAGCAGTTTGATACAACTACAGTTGCAAATAACAAAGCTGACCTTTACCCCCTTTCACTAAAAATCTCAGCAGCTTGCAGCTCTTCATGCTGATTAAAAAAAAACATCTTGCACTCAATAGTTAAACTTGTTTTTCATTTATTTACAAATAGAGTTCATCTACTTCCTAGTCCAGTTCTGGCAAAATTATTCTAAGTGCCAGAACTGGAAAAGTTTATCAAGAAGAGTGAGCCAAACTACCTGTTAGTGAGTCAAAATAGCAGTTGGCAGATCAAAAAGTCTCATTGAGAGCAACAAAAATTGCTTGTTTGCAGTGACCGCCTCTAAAGGTTGTGCAACAAATTACTAGGTTAAAGGTTTCATCATCTTTGTCCATGCCATTTATATTGGTTTTATTATTTAAAATATTATGCGGAATCAAAAATAAAATACAAAGTCTGATTTTTATTAAATATGGACAAAACAATAACAAATGCCAAATTACTTTGGTCAGTTTTGAGTTACTTCAGATAAAACTGGAGTTTTTTTTATTCATGGAAGGGTACCAATAAATGTATCCATCTCTTTATAGGTTTGACTAAGCAGTGGGTGTGTTGGACCTCTGCAAAGAGACCACTGCTTCCACATAGACAACAAGGGTCCTTCTATACAACATGCTGGCAGGGTATATTCTTTTCAACTCAGGCTGTGGCAACTGCAAACCTTTGTACATCTTTTGTTTTAAAACACTAGAAATGTACTCAGCTGATCTAAACTAAAAGTTCAGGTAGACTTTAATGCTGAACTCCCAATAAGCAGCTAAATACACAACAGACATACAGTGCTTCACATGTTAGAGATTAGAGCCTCTACAGCAATCCAGTCTTAAGCATGTACCAGATTTCTTTTACTGAATTGTGTCTATATTCAGAGAAAATATTTCACTTTAAATATATAGATTATTCAGACTCAGATGGAATCTATCACAAAGTAAAATTCCCATTTCCAACTCCACCTTTAAAAAGCAGTCATTTCTCAACTTACAAGCTGCATACTAGTTTCAGGGCAGTGGAATTAAACCTCTTTAGCTTGGCTGTCAATAATGTCACTAGCAAGGAAGCGGAATAAATTGAACTGTCTTTAAATTAGAATGAGCCCCGTCAGTGAGAGGATGTCAGCTTCCTTTAAAGGCTCCGGAATCAGGTGTTTCTCTTCATGTACCTTCTTAAAATGACCACCACAACAAATCCCTCCATGTAGAGAAGTTATCAAGTCTGTAAAAAAATTAAATCTGACATTTATTGTACCTGATTAGGTCGAGAGTAAAGCAGCAATTCTTGCCATCTGCCATGTATTCTTGCAACTAGATCCTTTACCTGAAAGCAAATATTGAATATTAAATAAAATACTTTAAAAGATGCTGAAGCTCCTATAGCCTAGACCAGTGATGGTGAACCTATGGCACGCGTGCCAGAGCGGGCACGCAGGGCCCTTTCTGCTGGCACACGAGCCCAGGTCTGATGTTCTGTCAGAAATCGGCTAAAGCCACAGTAAAAGTATGCTACTAGGGCGCATGTGCTGGCTTAGGCTCGCATATTTCTAGTGTATAGACACTAGGGGGCAGTGTTCTATGGCAGAACAATGAGGAACTGTCATCACCGCCTATCTCCTCTCAGCATGTGAGGCAGCAGCTGACCGTCCTGTTCTGCAAGCAGCGGCTGCACAGAGACTCTGTTTGAGTGAATGTTTTTACATGCGAGAGACAATCTGGTACTGTTTCATACACAATAGCTTTGATAAACATGCTGTGGCACCTTTTCCATGACTTATAATGTTTGTGCCTTACTCATGCAGGTCTTTGTTAATGCATGCATAGCTTTCAAATAATTGTGTTTGTTTACAGCCCCCCGAGAGCCCATACAGACCACCTGTGAGCCCTTATAGCCTCCATATATAGCCTGACAGCCGCACATCCCCCCTAGAGCCCACACAGCGTCCCTTAGTGCCGCAGAGCCCCGAGAGCCCTACAGACCACATGAGAGCCGCACAGACCACCTGAGAGCCGCACAGCCCCCCCCATAGAGCTTATACAGACCACCTGAAAGCCCTTATTAACCACCCGAGAGCCACACAGCCCCCCAAAGAGCCCGCACAGTCCCCCTGAGAGCTCATACAGACCACCTGAGAGCCTACAGAGCACACCTGAGAGCCCCTATTAACTACCTGAGCGCCCATTAAGACAACCTGAGAGCCGGCAGAGCCCTCCTGAGAGGGTTGGCACTTTGAGATACAAAAGTTGGTTTAGTGCCCAGTTTGGGCACTCTGGCTCAAAAAGGTTCACCATCACTGGCCTAGACCCATAAAAATATGATTTTTCTCCTCCCCATAAAATCTATTTCTTGGAGTTCATTGATGGACACAGAAATTAAGATACTGTCAGTTTATACTGCCACCTACAGGAGACACTAGCATAAAAAAATGTATGGGCTGGCCCAGATTAATCCCTCCAATATCCATAATGCATGATGAAAAACACATAGGAGGTGGAGTCCAAATTATTTTCTCATGTATTGAGGGACACGGGATTTCAGATACTGCTGAGACATTCAAAAGCAATCCAAATAAGGGATGGGCAAACTAAAAACCATTAACCAGCCCAAAAATACTTAACTACGGACTGCCTGCAGCCCAGAAGCTGCCCTAACAGCCAATGCCTGAAGCTGAAACTAGATGAGGTTGAGTCCCCCTACTAGATGAGGTTGAGTGCCCCAACTAGATAGAAGAACCTATCAACACGAATAGAGGGAAGCCATGCAGAATCAACCTGCTGCTCAAAACAAAGAGAATGAGTCCCAACCAGAAGGGAATGACTGCACAGAGAAGGGAACACAGAACCTGAACCAGTGAAAAGCTGATCAACCAGAATCCGCCAAAACAGGAGGAAGAAAACAGCAAATTCCCATGTAGGGAAGAAAGACCCAAAACCTGATGTGGTCAACAAGTAAATGAGGCCAAGCCCCTAGGAGAAACATATCCCCAAGGGGAACCTAAGCAAAACAGGTCCTGGTGAGAAGAAAAGTTGGTTTAAATGGGAAGGCCCTAAGACTTACACCCCTGACCCCCTAGGATAAAAGGGACAAAAAACTGTGTGTAAAGCTACACACTGGCCAGATAACTAGCCTTGCTAAGCAAGTTAGTTTCCTCTAGGTTGAATAGTGGGAGACAAAGCAGAGAGCACTCTCAACACTCCACCTAGCGTATGACCTCAGTGCTCACTTCCCTGGGCCTCAATGGTTACTGCGGTGAGATGGCAGTGGCAGGAAATGCAAAATAACCCCCAACATAACCTGTGAGGTAGCACATAGTGCTTTAGCACAGACAACTTCACTCACCAAGTGAGCCTACAGAAACTGGCTCATATCAAAGGCTGTTCCCCGACTATTGACTTTAAGAGTGCTCTGCGGCTAACCCCTGCATCTTTTAGTCCAATAGAATCCATATATGGCTTCCAAACACCAATCTACTTCAGGCTAGATGGCCTTACACACAACGGAAAGCTAACAATACACAGAGGTCTGGAAACTGCCATAAAGCAGAGCCCTGTGCTCAAAGGTCACATTCCAGGCCAACTCCGCAACCTTTGGTCCAGCAGGGTCTCAGCACAGACTCCATAGATGTTGCTGAGGACACACTGAACCAGTTAACTGCTGGGTAGAGATGAGCTCAAGCAGCATTGCTCAAAATCTTGACTAAAATCTTGACACAGAAGAAAAAATATCTAATGGAGTATTTTGAATGTAGAAAAAAAAAAAAGGTCAAAATTACTGTTAAGATTTTTCTCAGCTGAGCTGAGGGCAAAGTGTCCAACCTACTAGGACACAATCCAAAAACTGGCCGAGGCACGACATTTGGAGGCAGGGTCATACAACGGCTTGCCGTACACTTTCTGGTTTGCCAGTAACCCAATTTTCTAACAGTGACTACATTTCTGTGTCCCTCAATGGGCAATAAAGAAACTTGAATTTTGGAAAAACACTCCAACTAAATAGTTAAAAACAAGACACACATTGTTGTGATTGTATCAGAGTTATTTGCTAGGCCTCTCTCAGTAAATAAAAAAGTACCTTTGTTCTGTAGAAAAACCTTGCATCCTCACGGATATCACTCTTGATGTGCTTCTCTAACTCAGTGCATAATTTCAGGAGGTATTTCTGCAAGCAATATATGGCAGTGTTAAATGATTTAAAACACTATCTGTTGAACAATACACAAACAATAAATCTACCATTTTGTATAGGTGTTGCCATGAGAGAAATAAGGGAGCCTTACATTATTAAATTCTACAAACAAATATGCACAGAATTCTGACTTCATTCAGGTCAGTGACTCAGGAAGTATTGAAGCCTTTGTCCCTGTTCACACCAAGTGCGACAAAAAACTGTCAACACTAGAAATCCCATTCATTTCTATGGTCCATGTTCACACCTGAGAGTATTGTCGCAAGCTGTAAAACGCTGAACGCTGGAAAAAGCTACATGAGCTTCTTTCGGACAGATTATAGCACGTTTGGCTGCATAGACCTCAATGGAAATGCATTTAAACACGCAACACATGTGTTTTGCACATTTCTGTCGGCGTTTGCGCTCACGTTTTCTCATTCACAGCAATGCATTTTGATCTACTCAATAAAACGCGCGTCCTTGTCTATGCGCATCTAATGCGCAAACAATGCAAGGGAAGGACGTGCGCAAGAACAAGCGTTTTACGTGTGGAAACGCTACTGCGTGAATGGGAATTTAAGGTGGCTATACATTGTTTCATTTCCGTTCAGAAATCGTACAAACGATCTTTCAATTGAAAATTGAAGTTGATGGTACAACAACGATTTTCATTTTTGCGAATGTGTACGAAATTTTTAATACAGTCAGGTTGGAAAATGTTTCTTTGACCGAACGAAATTCGATGGAGTAGGGACTTCGTTCGTCCAAAATCTCCCCAAGAACACAGCACATGCACAAAAAGAAAGCTGCCTAGGACAAACGAACATCTTCTTTGCATAGGTCAAACAAATATTTGCGTAATTAGTCCAAAATTGGTTGGTTATTGTGCCTAACAAACGATTTCTGAAATCGACATTTAACTATGCTAGATAGGGAATTCTAGGTATAATCGAAGGAGGGTTTGTGGCAGAAATGTGACCCATGGCCAGCTTTAAGCATTTCCAAAAAGAGGTAGCCTGCCGTGGCTAAAATATTTCTCTTCACAGTTTTCTTAAAAACGGACAGTTATCGCAAAAAAATCCGAGAAAAACAACTAACACTACCTCGGCTCAGCCTCCACCACAGATCAGTTTTTAAACCCATATCACTATACCTTAAAAGAGAACTATGGGGTAAGTGATTTTCTCTTAAGGGTCACGGGAGGACATATACTAGCGTCCTTCCGTGACCCAAACCTCAATATATAGTGAGCTACGGTATACTGAGACTGTCGCAGCCGGGACGGATCCCGACAATACGGTCGAGATCCACCGAGCTACGTGAATGACAGCTGGTTCTGCCTATCCAGAGTGATGTCGGGACAAAAAAATTGAATAATAATTGTAAGGTGTATGGCCACCTTTAGAGAAGAAGCCCCACCACCTATTACTAATCCTAGTGCAGGAGTGGTGAAACAGGGTCACAACTTTCTAGCACTCATCCTATAAATAAAGAAAAATACTACAGAACTGTGGAAGGGATGAGATTTTTCAATTATTGACCTGAAAAACTGGAAATACTGATACAATGTTGGTACGTGATTACATATTCATATCTTCATCAGTGCAAAGTTTCTTCCTAAAGTGTAAATAAACCCTCCATATTAAAACGTTCTATACAGTAGCCTCAGTTTCTCCATTGTTCGCTATGGCACTTCTAGCTTGCAGCCTTTCAGTTCTTCAAATTCAGCCTTTATTAAAGTGACATTAAACCCTCAGATTTGTTAACATAAACCAATACTGTAATGTGTGCCTTACTGTAATCCATGGTAGTTTCCCTTCTCTTTGCTGCTGTTCCCTTTAAATCCTCATGTCTTCTCATGCTTGGGGAGAACTTCCCTTTGCAGCTGAGTGCCTCTTCCTGTAGTGCTGGCTCAGGTTGCAAACTTACACACAGACACCATGTATCCATTTCAGAGACAAGGCAGTCTGCTGCAAAACAGAAGTTCTGCCCAGCATGAGAACAGATTTAAAAGGAAGAGCAGCAAAGAGAAGAGAAACAACCATGGATTACAGTAAGGCACACATTACAGTATTGTTTTATGTTAAAAAAAAATCTGAGGGTTTAATGTCACTTTAAAGCCATCTGCTCCACTGCTGTCAATAGGATTGCTCCGTTCCCTACGTAAAGCTACTAAAATGGCCATAGTCCATTTCTGAAAGACATTATTGGTGGACATGGCTAGAGTCAAAGCTATAACATAATATTTAAGGTTGATGACAAGAACTCTAAAAAGACTGGTATCTGTTCCTGCTTGGATCTCGCTTTACAGTCACCATTGTTGAAGAAATTTGAGTGCTGAATTTTCAAGGGAAGAATCCACTTACTCTCTGAATGGAAAGAGGTTCATCAGAGCTGCTTGCATCGTTGACCAAATGTAAAAGAGTGAAAGTCAAATAATATGCCTGTAATAAACAAAATTGAGGAAAATAGGTAAAAAAATAATCTCACACATAGTTGTAAGGAATATATAACTTGTAATGTGTACATGCACAGCTGCTCCAGATTCTGTCTGCTCAAGTCTGCTAATTTCCCCTCTTACTGTTTAACAGTAATAATTACTATTATTCTTGCCACTGTTTCTACATTAAAGCATACATTGCCTTTGTAATACAAACAAAATAAAAAGGTTTCTTGTGAGCACTGGACAGGATATGATGTAGAATAACAAGTTTAAAATCTAGCTTTTGTCACATATAATCATCCAGCATATGCTGTATATCACATCTTGTGATATGTCCATTCAGGGCAAAGCAACAGACACATTTTAATGGCTGCCCCCCAGCTTATTTACCTCCCCCCTTGCTCCCCCATTTTTCTGTTTCACTTTGGAGCTTGCAGAAAGCTCAGGACACTATCCCTACTCCCAAGTCACAGCTCTACATGCCAATACTGATACTGTTACAGGAGAGTGTCCCCCCTTACCTGGAAGTACAAGGTATTTTTCTTAGGTGAATGGAGCAGTGCACTGCAAAGGATATGAGGGTTTAATTCTACTTTGTTAAAGTGCTTTGGCCCCCGTGGACATGGCTCCAGTTCACTTTAACATCCAATTATTATCAATTTTTTATGGACAGATCCCATCCATCATTTTTCTCCAAGAACAATAAGGCCCGGTTCACACCTGGGCGGTTTGTAGCGCGTTCTAACGCTCTGCAAAATGCTCAAACACAGAAATCCCATTATTTCCTATGGGTATGGTTCACACCTGGGCGTATTACAGGCCGTATGAACGCGCTACAAAACGTCCTACGCCCAAAGAAGTACAGGAGCTTCTTTGGAGCATTTTTGTCGCGCGTTTCCATTGGGATACAGCCAAGTAGCCCTCGGAAGCGCGCGCTTGTCGTGCGTTTTTTACTGCGAATCGCGGTAAAAACGCGCGTCACGAAACGTGCGACAAACGCGCATATTCGATACGCCTAGGTGTGAACCCAGCCTTAGAGCCTCTCACACTGGTAATATATAACATAACCACAAAATACCTCCTGATCCAAGTCCGCCAATGTCTTTGACTGATAGTCTGGAATTGTCTGCATCTTCTTCACCAGAGAGGATGGCTTCATTTGGGACAAACATTTACACAACAGCAGCATCTGATGAACACACATGAATCACTGAATTATATCTCAACATACTACAACAACAAACATTTACACAACAGCAGCATCTGATGAACACACATGAACCACTGAATTATATCTCAACATACTACAAGACATCCCTCCCAAAAACAATAAATTGGAAAGCTATCTTTTAACAAACAGCAGGTACAAACCCGAGACTCGTAATCCAGAGGAATATCTGTGCAGTGCCCCTTCCGGATATTCGATATAAATATAAGGCTGACGTGTCTTCTTATTTCTCTAGGGTGAAGAAGAAAATATGGGTAAGGTACAAAACATTCCTTTTAAAGTATCTAAATATCAGGTGATCCAGAGTTTATAGTAAAAAATGTGGATCCGCGCTTTATGGGTAGCCCTGATTTAATATCCTGATATTAAAGCAGCTGCGCTCTCTATCCAGAGTTTATAGTTTCCTCATTTAACGGTCGGGTCAAAAAGGAAAAATATTAGGTACAATGCAAAAGGTAGCTGGAAAAAATGCTAACACTAACTGCTAGGGAAGAGCTCTATTGGTAATACAGTGGGGGGAATTCATCAAAACTGGAGCAGACAGAATCTGGGAGCAGTTGGCATGCCGAGCCGCTCCAGATTTTGTTTGCTCCTGCTTGTCTGATTTCAATCATTGTATATAGAATTACGTTTATGAAAGGAAAAAAAAAACGCAAAAAAGTTACCTGCCACGAAACTCAAATGTAGGAACGAGCTGCAGCAGCTTTAGGAAGTTATGATGGTGATTGGAGAGTTCGCTCATAGCAAAGCACAGTTCTGGCATCTTGGAGACAAACACGTGATGAGCTAATTTCATACAATAGAATGGTCGTAGTTGGAAAAAAATAATGAATTTGTGATAATTACTTACAACATTTACCCAGTCCTCGATGTTTTGAAGGAGATTTGCTATGAGACAATGCAAGTCCATCACAGGAATATCCTTCATTTCTTTTTCCAGATGTATTTTTAAGAGCATCACCAACAGTGCAAGGATTTCCAGGTCAAGGTAACTTTCCTTGTAGACTGCTGTACACAAGCCTAAGAACTGTAAATAAACAGAACTTTAAAATAACTGGAGAATATTATGCAACAAAAAGATCTCATTGCATTCCTGGCTTTAAAGTGGAACTCCAATGCAGGTCAGATACAATCTTTACAGTTTTAGGCCTCAGGCACACGGGCCATAGAACATTTGCTCAGGATCTTGCTGGCAGCAAGAGCTATACAGTCCATATAGCGGAGATGCGTATAGGTAGCTTGTACGGCTACTTCTCCCCTGCCTAGTGAATGCCTAATGAATCGTTCACTAGGCAGTGTTGGCCGCGGGCTGACAGGTAAATAGTGTATAATCAATCAGCAGTTGTTCATTAAACACTGTACATGTTGGCCCTGAATTAATCATTCATGCAGTGGGGGTGCCTGAGTAGAATAACCTTGGCCTTTATAGACCAATTCAGTCACCGAAGCCCGTGGTCATTCTGGGCATGCGCCTCTGTCGCATGAATGATTCATTCAAGGCAACTGCTAATAACACTATTGTTTACATGTTGGTCCTGAGCAGTAGCAGGGTTCAATACACTGTACGCATGTAAATGTTAGTATGAAGGTTTTCATGAATACACTTTAAAAATACACCCAAGTGCACTACATTGGATACTGATTTTTCTACTTTTGGACCCAAACAGACCAGTGTGCATGGGTCCTTGGGACACTGTATGCAGATCCATGTAAATTACGATCTGAACCCAGCAAATTAAAAACGTGTGCATGAGCCCTTACCTGACAAAGGATTTACAGTTTTGGTCAGCCATTCTTGTGATGTACACACCTCTGCTAGCCAGTAAGATCACTTTTGCTTCTTCCTGGTTTAACATTTCTGCTTCCTGGGTCAGCTCATTGTACAGAGATGATGATGTTAATGTACGGTTAGATGAGCAGGTTAGGAGTGACACAGGAAGCTGCGTTGCTAAACCAGGTAACATGTCACATTCTTAACTGTGCAGTATTCCACAAATGCATACAATACAAGGCTAGCTGTGTTACAAATCTTTTGGTAGGTAAAACTGTAAATATACAGTATATGTAGTTTAGCTGTTCACTGGAAACACCACTTTAACATTATGCTATAAACACTTTGCAGAATACTGTCAACTTAAAGAAAATGTATAGAAATCAATATTAATAAAAGGGCTACAACTATGTGGGTAATACTGCCGTCTAACAACACAAATGTAAGATATTTCATGATATATGAACCTGTCACTTTGCTTACCCGGTTCAGCCAAGGATCCTATATAGTGTTGGAGAATTCCATTTTAGACTGCCACAAGCAATGTTAGTTTCACATATCAACTACCCTGCCCCAGAAATAGCATTGCTCCCAGTTCAATGACTACACCAGCACCAGCCTTATTTTAAATATAGTAAATATATTTTTGACGTGTTCCATTTAAAAAGTGTTCTAAAACCAACATAAAAAAAAACAAAAAGAAAAAAACATCTTAAAATAAAAGTGAAAAAGGGGAGTGTTTGATACTACTTTAAAGACAAAAGCATATCATCCTATGTTCCAAATCGTAGTGACTAAATGATCGACTTAAAGAGGACAAGAACTCTGAAAGCTGTGCCAAAAAAAAAAAAAGTGGGAGGACAAATGACTAGATATCATTATTGCCTGTATTTCCCCTACAGCTGATCTATCCCCTTTACTTTAAGAACTCCAGACAAAATAATCTGAACCCTTGAAGTGGGGTTATGCCAGCACTGCAAGGGTTAAGTGCTCGTTTACGTCTAGGGATGAAAAAAAACAAAGATATACTCACCCAAACAAACAACCTGGCTAGCTGCTAAACTGGCCCCTGCAGCCTCCCTCCTCCAGCAATGGAATGTCCCTCAACATCTTCATGTCCAATACAGTGTTTTGGACGTGATGACTCACAGGACCTGCAGTGAGGCTGCAGGGACCGGTCTAAGAACCAGCTGGCTTTGAGGATCAAGTGAGTAGATCTTTGTTGTTTTCTTCGCTAGATGAAAATAAGCACTTAACCTTTCAAGTGCGAGGGTAGATCATTTCTGCCCGGAGTTGTTCTTTAACATGCCTTGTTCTGCACGGTGTCTCTGTGCTTAGGCGGCCACCTTGGTATCTATCTATCTATCTATCTATCTATCTATCTATCTATCTATATATATATCAATGCTCCCCTTGGCTGACAATGTTATGATTGGAAATATTCAAAAATCAGCAGAAAAGTTTCAGTAAGCACAGATCCACAGAATTAAGTAAAAGTGAGAAGATGGAAGCAGTGTACGTCTTCAGGTAGATTCTTCTCCAGCAAGGAGAACAGTAGTGGCATCTCCAAATCTCACTTCAATCTGACTAGCAGTCACATGAAGCAGCGCCTCTCACACAGCAGATATACAGGCACACTCTGTAATGGCTAGTTCACACCATCCTCAGGGCGCTCCGGCCCAATTGTGGCCGGAATGCACTGGATCACATTCTGGCCAGGGCACACGCACTATTTTTTCTCACTGGACCGGAATGCAGGCGCTGATATGCCACGCGTTCCTGCGCGGCCGATCGCATTGTGGCGCCATTGAGTTCCAGCACGCCCCCTCCCGCCCCAAAACAAAGTGAGCCGGCTGAAATGCGATCCAGTGCGTTCCGGCCACAATGAACTGTGGATGGTGTGAACTAGCCCTAAATCAGCACGCGTACTGCTATTTTTCAGGGGGAATTTAAGACGGACAATGAAAAAAAAAATGTACATTTTCAAGGGTATTTCTTAGGCACAATTAACATTCTAGATGTTCCTATAAAAAACAAATCTTCACTTTTTAAATCCAGGTCCACTTCAATTGGCAAATATGCAATTTACACAGATTCTGGGGTTGTCTGACTGTGATGTGAAATAAGTAGCTGATGTCTGCACCTGACCATCACATCAGCTCCAAAAATGTGGCTGCAACTAAAAGGCATGAAAGATCTGTTCAAAATCCTAAATCACTATAAAGACAATTTACCTTTATTACATGAGCTATCTGAAATTCTGGAACGCAAGAAAAAATTTGTTCTGTGCACAAAGATCCCTGTTCCTCTGACACTGATCCGGGCACTGCAGATCTGTAAATAAAGCAGATAGGTGGTCACATAAAATGAACCAATGGGAACGCATACTTCACTATTTATCTTGTATAGGTCAAGGTCTAATCTGACTGATAGTGCAAAGAGATAAAAAGGTTTACAAGTAAAAGGACTGTAGAGACCCAAAGTGATTGTTCCACGCGGTCTTTCAAATGTAAAAAAAGGCAGATGACAGATGTTTCAGATTGAATTTCACCTAAATACAGTACACTATATTGCCAAAAGTATTGGGGCGCCGGCCTTTACACGCACATGAACTTTAATGGGAGGTTTGTAGCTATTGACTCTGCAGACAGTTGGCGACTTCTGCGCACTGTGCGCTTCAGCATGCGCTGACCCCGCTCTGTCATTTTACGTGGCCTACCACTTCGTGGCTGAGTTTCTGTTGTTCCCAGTTGCTTCCACTTTGTTATAATACCACTAACAGTTGACCGTGGAATATTTAGTAGCAAGGAAATTTCACGGAACACCTGAATCCAATGATTTGGAGGGGTGTCCCAATACTTTTGGTAATATAGTGTACAATGCGAGAAATTTACATCATGTTTCTGACAACTTTCCACTTCAAAACTGTCATTTGCCTGCATAAAGATTTGCAGTATTTCCCCTAATTTTACACCTGAAATGTCTCCTGTATACTTAAAATGCTACCCATATCAAAATGCACTTGAGGCCTCTGGCAGGGTTTTGCAGCAGTAGGATCTTACTGCAGGTACCTACAGCTGCCTGCACACTTGGTTAAATAATGTCCACAACAGCCTGCAACCCTGAAAACCACAGCTTCACTATAATGCACACAAAAGTGACCTGGGCTACTATGGTTGTACTGCAGCCACCCTCCCTGCTTCCTTTACCTACCTATTGATCTTTGATGCTGCCCATCAGACACAGTGGCCAATAGAGAGCCAAAAGCATAGCACCATTAATGACCAAAAAAAAAAAAAAAATTACAGTACAAAATACAAAACAATTAAACACTTTACTTATTTTGCACTGACCCTTAATGAACATGTACTCCCCATTTACTTTTACTTTACAACCAACTAGATAATGTTCCTCAAAAACACAGTGGCTGCCATCGAAGACATCTCATTTGAAAAATGCTAGTTGCCTGATTCATGCTGACCATGTTGTTAAAAGTAGGGCTGCGGAAATTAACGATTAATCGTTAAACTTTTTGATCGATTAAAATAATTTTGATCAAAAATGAAAACACTCACCTCTCCGCCGGCTTCCGAGAGTCCCGTCGGAGATCCGGTGACGTCACGGACATCACCGGACTCCTCCCCCCTTCCCCAAGTGGCTTCGTCGGCTAACGAAGGGAAGGGAGTCCGGTGACGTCGATGTCCGTGACGGCTAACAAAGGGAAGGGGGAGGAGTCCGGTGACGTCGATGTCCGTGACGTTACCGGACTCCTCCCCCCTTCCCTTCGTTAGCCGACGGAGCCACTTGGGCCAGTGAGTACTTGTTCTGCACGAGCGCCAGCAAAGACAATGGCCTATACACATACAGCACAGCAATGAAGTAATAAAATTAACTAGGATCACACTAATCCAGCACGTTATTATTCTGAGTTGCCCCACTCAAGCGGCGGCCATGTTGAGTGGGGCACGTGAGATTAATAACGTGCTGGATTAGTGTGATCCTAGTTCATTTTATTACTCCATTGCTGTGTTGTATGTGTATAGGCCAATGTAGTTGGATCTGCATGTGCTTTATAATTAATCGAAATTAATCGATTTAAAAAAAATTTGATGAATCGAACACGAAAATTTTAAATCATTACCAGCCCTAGTTAAAAGAGATAACTTCTGTCTTTTTCTGACCATACTTGTCAAACGAGTATTTTCAGGCACACAGTGGAATTTCCTGTATTCCTCTCAAAAAAGGTTTACAATCAAGCAGAACTCCAGCCAGAAAAAAAACCCACAAGAAAAAAAAATATCCTGCTAAAAGATAAAACATTTTTTGCAGAGATATTAATCTTCAATCCAAAGCTGCCCCCCCACAGTTCTCCTTTTCTGCCACTTTATGTCCTCAGTATGATGGAAAGCATCATTCAACCCACTTCCTCTGAGCACAGTCTGTCATGGATCTGACCCAGTCTGTGACTGGACTGGACTGGAAGCAGCACAGCAATGAGTTTGTATTTCATTCTGTAAACTCCTATCAGCACACTCCTTGTCACCACAGAAAAAAATATATATTTAAATGAAGGATGGCATGAAATTTGGCAGGACATACTGAACAACAGTAACAACCTCTTCCAATGGATTCCAGACTTCACCACAGAGCCAATGCCTGAACACAAAATTCAACAAAATATATTTTACAGAATAGGAGAGGTAAAAACTTACTTTAGGTCAATGTCACTGAAACCAGGCTGAATATGTGGAAGAGGAAAGAGAGTTTTGAACTCAATCCCCATGTTGGTAAACACAGTCACTATGTCCAGAATAGTTGGAACCCAAGGCTTTTCTTCCAGATGTGTAACTATTGAAATAAAATAGCATTATGACCATCAACTATAAGGCAGCAGAGAAAAGGATGCTTGAACATACATTTCATACTTACGATGGTTGCATGTAATTTCAATCAAGGTGTGTAAAAGTTTAATGGATGTGGCATAGGAAGGATGAACCGAAACCATCTGTAAGAAAATCATTTAAAATGACTATAATGGCAAAAAAATACCATCCAAAGAAAATATATATTTGTTTTTAAATGTGCAAAAATTACACCAGCAGCGACATACTCATCGAGAGAATAGAATAAAATAAAATGCAATGGTAACACATTGAAGATAATTAGAAAGGCATAAAAAACTGAACTGCCAAATGAATAGATCTGGGGATAGTTATTATAGAAGCCAAATAGCCAATTTTAGGGGCTCAGGGAATAAGTTTTTTCCTTGTAGGTACATTGTGGGATGGCTAACCTAGGGAATATTGTAGCATGTTCTGGCAATTGGAGATTAGACATAAAAATCAGGATCCTCCTCATTGGGGTGTATTTTTTTTTTTTTAATATGCCCCCCTCCCCCCCCCCCCCCGTAAGCAGTAGGGTTGGAAAATGTTTTACCTCTAGACCCTTTCTGCTTTGTGTGTACTCACAATCTGGAGGAAGAAGTGTTAACTGAATGGTCCTCCACAGATCAGTCACATTCCAGCCTCCACAGAACTGCTCAGCCTGCACCTTTCCTATGTGGAGTTAGGAGTAGCAATATGACTGCGCACCTTGCACATGCCAAGCCAACTGAGTGTAGTGGCCACTACTGCCATATTGCACAGGCAAAGGCTCCTAAGACAGCCCAAAGGCATCCACAGCACTGGCTGTGCTCCACGGGACCCCCACATCTGAGCCCAAGATGGCCCCTGCAACATGTGACTGACTGGTGAGGGGAAATGAGAGAGACTGGGGCAGCACAGGGAAAAACAGAAAGTGGCAGAAGCAGCACGCAGGAGGCAGTATCAACAGGAAGGGTAACCCAGAGGGCCAGGCAGAGGACTCACATAGGGTTCACTCCATTTGGATGAGCATACCCCTGAAGGTCTTCAGTGAGAGGGTCACACCAATGCAGATACGCCACTGCCCTGTACATGTAGCAGCTAACCCAATGTGCTCCACTCATTACAGAGGAGACATGCATCACCTAAGGAAACCAGCAAAAACTGAAGAGTGGGATGAGTTAGACGGAAGTCCTCACAGTTCTGGCCAGTGTCCACTCACCTGATGGTACCAAAAACACAAAGTGGTCTCTAAATCTTCCTGCGTCCTATACTATAAGATCAAGAAAGGGTTGTGTCCATTTTAACTCATTAGAAATTAAGTAGACAGGGCTGAAACCAAGTACTTAGGATTATAGCGCTCACAACACATTGTTGGCAGCTCAAACAGAAAAGGTAGGTACACTGTATGTTACTGGCATATAAACAGTCAATTTTCTGTAGATGCAGCATGTTCAAAGGGATAAATCAGAGGGAAATGTGCATGTATTGAAGAAGATGTACTATGTTTTTTGTTTTCTTATTTGCCTTATTTAAATAGAGAATCGTATAATGTGGCACTTCACTGTGAACACCGAGCCATTCCAGTCCTACAGGAACTTACAAAACCAGTGTGACTACCAAAGTCACACATTATCACAAATTAGGACCAATTTGAGTCTAAGTCAATACGTGTGCTAGCAGGAGTTCTGGGTTTAGGACGAAAGCACAGTATCTGAAAGGAAACCCACAAAAACACAAGAGGAACATACAAACCAACTGAAGAATAGATTTTAAGTGGGAATTGAGCTCAGGGCTCAAATTCCACAAAACACTCAATAACATGATTTCTGTGAATCTTCAAGATCCTTTGATAAAAAAAATGGCCTAACCCTTTTAGGCTACCTAAAAATTCTTACCTGAAACATCCATTTCATTAGAATCTCAGGGCATTTCCTAAACTGATACAAAGTGGTTAGAAAGCCTTCTGTGGCCAACATAAGCTGGTTTCCAGGTCTGAAATAATGAAAAAAAACCCCAGTCAAACAAAGGACAGCAATGAATAAACGGCTGACAGATCCCATAGTACAATAATAAAAAGTAAAGAAACTAAGGGTTCATATTAATATTTTGGCAGAATCCAATAATAGTTAAACCCAGTCCCCACTTACTTCCCCCCCCTTCCCCCAAGGAACCAGCTGCTCTTGATTCAGACCATCAATGATTTGGCCCAGGAGTTTTTGGCTTTTAGGCATTTGTTTATAGTGACATAGCTTTGTTCTTGTAAAGTTATCATTTTTATTTGATTTCTAAGGCCAGAGCTGCATTGCAGGGGGAAAAGAAAAAAAAAAAGTCTACTTTTAAATGAGAGTTTGTAATTTAGAAGGGCAAACCTGCACATAGGTACTTACTGTAGTAATTACCCTAAGGTCTTTAGAGATGGAGACTGGAAAGAGTCCAGAAAGCCTTGTGTCAGCCAAGCAGCACCACCAAGGCTGTCACTGGTTTAGAGAAGTGCCACAGTAGCCATTAATGAAATACAGGTGTTTGGAAATGGAAAGAAAGCACTGGATCCATATGGTTATTCTGCAGGTGTTTCTTATTCAATAGTGGTAAAGTGATGTTAATATGTGTGATCTGGCTAAGAGGTAGGCAGCATCCACAAGCCAAAGAAGCTCCACAGCATCCTTGGCTTGACAGTGAACACAGTAGATGTAGGCTGCCAAACCAGCTACTGACAAGCCTGAAGTAATCCCATCACAACTCAATACAACTTTCAAGCTGCAGGGATTGTAGTCCACATATATGGATATCTCATTAAGCCCTGATGAAGGGGGTGCGTTTTGGACCCCCAAAACACGTTGGCCACTCTACTTGAATGTCCGGTGACCTTAATGGAATAAAGTTGTATTTGGACTGTTTTAATTGGTGTGGCACTTCAATTGCTACATCTACTGTGTTCTCTATGAAACACAGTCCCAGTCCTGTCACCACTAAAACTAAGAAACGGCCCATTTCATTTGTTTTTTAGATAAAATTGTCAACATGAGGAGCAATAATACCATAAAAAGAATACTGGCATCTATAGGGATTTTACTGACAGGGCAGACAACAGCACTGAATGAATGCTATATTTACTAATCAGGGCCACTTGACCTTTGACATAGGGCCAAAAACCTACACTAAAGTGAACTGTCAAATGAACATACAGGAAAATAGAGGCAAAATCACATACCTATAAACTACTATGTATTCAGAATGAGTATATAATTGGTACAGGAGATCACTATGTTACCTGAATATGATCATTTCTTCAGAGCTGCCAGCAGTGAATTGTAAATGTTGCAAGTTAAGAGTTGAAATGTTGAAGATTGCTCCCGATTTAGACAAATGGAAGATCTCCTCTCCTGGATGGTAATCTGGTATTGCATTTGAGACAACTGAAAATTTCTTCAATATGTCCCTATAAAGTGAGTAACAGGGCATTAATTGCTACGCTTAAAAACCTTCCCAACATTAAAGAATCTTTGTGTTCCAATCAAAAATTTTCCCAGAAACTATAGTAAAGTGGTACCCCGGTTCAAGAACTTAATTCGTTCCAAGATTCTGGTTGCGAACAGAATATGTCGCGAACCGAACCAAATCAAACTGTGATCAGACCGTGATCTCGACTAGAGGAAGCCACGACCATGTGTCAGAGCAAGGAAGATGGCTGCGGTTGTATTCATCACCCGATGCGGAGGTCGCAAACGGAAGTAACATTTGCCAAACTTCCTGTTCGCGAACCAAATAGTTTGCAAACAGAAGCGTTCGTGAACCGAGGTACGACTGTATTACAGTGAAACGAAAACCCCCCATTGTAACAGTGATATACATGTTCACAGTCAAGAAGACTATAAGAACATTTATACAGTTTACTCAAAAATTACATTTTGTGTAATGGTAAACAATGAAGAGTTCAATCTCTTAATGTTTAAGTGTGTGTAAACCCTAAAATGAACTTCTCTTATTTGCTCTTTTAACAACATCAGAGTGTGACTGGCGAACAGAGTGTCGATGAGAAGATTTAGGGGACTGGTCACACAAAAAGGAGGCATAAAGTAAGGATAAAGTAATTAAAACTGCATTTAAAGGCACCCTAGACAAAAACAAGGATAGTTTTGAATTGTTCCTGAGGTGCAGCTTTAAGTTTCTGTAGTTGATTAAACCCAAGTTATACACAGGCCTGATCAAGCAGCAGAACCTTTATAGGTAATGAATCCATAATAAACCAAAGAGATGATTCGAGACACTGCTTTGTCATAAAGATGAATGGATAAAATAAGAGTTCCATGTGTACTTCAGAATAAAAACTATGAGTAAAAGTGACTGCACACAGAAATTTAGTAAAGAGGGTTACCTGTGCTCATCTGTAAGTTCTCCATCCTGGTCACCGTTCCTTTCTTCATCAGCCACTCCCTGTCCTCTCTCTAGGTCTTTGTGAAGCTGCTTCTCTATCGCATCGATTCTGTCAGGTGATAACAAGAGGACACATTCCAAGGCATGGAAACTAACTGAAAGCTGATTTTGAGAAAGACTTTTGGACTCGTTTGGAGTCAATTTCCAGATACCCACTGAAAAGGAGCTCTACTCCATGTGAGCAGCCTTACCAAACCAAGTTCAGTCATTGAATGACCATGGTCTTTCCATGTTCTGAAATGAACAACCTTTGAAGTTCCAATAAAATAACCAAAAACTTCAGCAGAAAGTATATAATACAACCAAACAAATGTGCGTTTGTACACACCATAAACTGTAAATAATCATTTAAAAATAAAACCAAAAACACACTACATTCAAAGCTGTATTAGTGTCCAAATATAATATGTCCTTCACTTGTTCCTTTTTAATATGGAAACAAACTAAATATGTCCAGAAATACTGTAACTACAAATATGAATTGATTGCTCCATTCTATACAGAACAGACCAATATACAAAAGGCACTCTACATAAAACTAACAGTCCAAAAGACAGAGCAATGATGATGATGATGATGATGATGATGATGATGATGATGATGTAGAAACATTTACTGTAAAGGGTAACAATCCACACTACCACTGCTTCACACTTCAAATGATTCCCACAACCAATAGATTGGTGAATGGCAACTCACTGCACTTACCTGGCCTACAGGAAGATGGGTCTAACAGCTCAAATCTGTTTGTATCCACACAGCTGTGTGTACCAGAACCGCTCTGCTCTGAAAGACACTGTCCAAACTTAGTCCTACATTCAGATTACTGTCTCATTCGCAGCAATCTATGCAATACCCTGGTCACACCTGCAGCTATTAGCTCAAGAGAAAAGAGCTCTTGAAAAGTCAATGACAACCGACAAAATTAAAAGGTGTAAAAAGCTTATTTTCTCGTCCATTAAGGGACACAGAAAATCATTACCTGACGTGTTATAAAGCTGTCTACAGAAAGATTGCACACTGGCAAGAAAAAAAAAGGGAAGATGTAAGCCATCCCAGGATAACCTCCACCACTACTAGCATGCCTATGTTTTTGCTAGTGTCCTAGGAGCATGGAAATCTTTGCTTTAGCTCTGCGAAACAAAAAATAACAAAAAAAATAGCCTTTTTTGCTATTGCAATCCCGTTTTCAAAAATTTTTTTTCTTCAAATTAAGATATCGCTGCTAAGCTGGTCTCTACGATAGCAGCTATCCAGAGTGGCCTTTACTCAGCAAAGCTTTATAGTGATCTGCATGAAGCCTAGCTGGACTGGACCTTGCAAGGTTAACCGGGAGAGTGACCTCCAGGCACTGGTTTCCCAGTAAGGCGCTTTCCAGACCACATCTGGTAAAAGTTAGCGGCAGAGTGCTTTCAAGGTCCAGAGCTGTTGGCATGGTCTCAGCACCTGCCCCTTCTCTGAAGACTTACTCTGCGAGTCTAAAGGACATCCATATGAAATCCACCAGCTCTATAATAGCCTCTCTTCACCAGGGAGACTTCCTGGTGTCTGTGGACATCAGGGACAAGTACCTACATGTACCCCTCTTCACCAAGTTCCTGGCCCCAGTACTAGCCTAGCTGTAGTCTCTGGGCATTCTGATTGTGGGATAATTAAACAGCTTACTGAGGGAATAGTCAGCATAGGTTCTGGCAGACAACATAGTCTTGACTGCCCAGACGGATCCTGAATCTTCAAAAACCAGCACTGGAACCGACTCAACCCTTGGAGTTTCCGAGTCAAGTCACAGACAGCTCAAGCTAGAGTTTTATCTGCCATAGGAGAAACTTCAAACGCTCTGCTCCCGGACTCGTACTCTCCAATCCATGAGTCAGTCAACTCTACACTACTGCACGAGAGCTGCTGGTAGCCTTCTTCGAGGCAGTCACATTTGCCTAGTTTTACTCCAGACCCCTACAACACAACATTCTCTTGTTGTGGGAGAAGTCAATCTAGTTCTTGGACACACCAATTTGTCTGCCTCCAAGGACCAGGTTAGCTTAGTGGCTCAGAAAACCAGCACTAGTCAACGAAGTCCTTCCTTACGGTCTTTGGGAAGATCCTCATGATGGATGGCGGCTTGTCGGGCTGTGGTTAAGACCCTGTCATTGCAGGGCACTTGAAGGTTGAAGGAATCTCGTTTCCTGATCAATATCCTGGATCTTCGGGTGATCTAGCTGACCCAGCAACACTGGACTACTCGGCTGGAGGGCCATTCAATTTGCATTTATTTGTCCAACCACCATGTCAGTGGCATACATCACAGATGGGTTTGGCCCAACATGTGTCCCTTAGGACCATTAAGAGTCAGGTGTCTGCACTTTCTATCTTGTTCCAGAAACCAGTGGCTTCCCATTCCTTGGGTAAGACCTTTGTTCAGGATGTCTTCCATATGGCTCTCCCAGTTTGTTCCCCTGTGACTCTGTGGGGTCTAAATTTTGGTTTCTCTTCATAAAATGCCCTTTGAATCCATCAGAGATATTTCAGGTTTAACCACAAGGTGGTATTTCTTGGAGCCATCACCTCTGCAAAGCAAGGTGCCTGGGCTGGCGGCCTTACCTTGTAAAGAACCTTTTGTGGTCTTATATAAGAACAAGGTGGTGTTGAGACCAGGACTACCTTCCTACCCAGGGTAATTTCAGCCTCTCACCTCAACCAGGACACTGTTCTTCCATCCAGCTCCAGTTTTCAAGGAGGTTAAATGCCTGAATATACAGTATAGTTAGAACTATGAGAACTACTATCTTTAAGCCATTGTTTTGTTTATAAAAAAACAGTAGTTGCCATTTAAGCTTTTATAGGATCTAGGAATCAAAGTTATCATCAGCAGTGGTGGTGTGGACCGTTCCGTTTACATTAAATGTTTCTACATCATCATATTATATAACTTTTTCCAGACTCTATTCTTTTGGATAATATACTTGTCTTGCACATTTCGTTTTGTGTAAAAAAACATTTTGTAGATTCATCTGTTCCATTTAGATTGGAGCAATGGACACATTTTTTTCTTATTTCCAAGTACTTTTTATTTTTTTTATTTTTAGTTTGATTCCATTAATTTGAGGTGAAACAAGTGATACATATAATATTTTTGGACACTAATTCAGCTTCGGGGTAGTTTTTTGCCATGTTCAGCAGCAGGAGCCACTGCTCGTTTAATACGAGTGATCTAATGAGATCACTCGTATTAAAACCGAGCAGCAGCGACGATCGAGATAACCATAGAGCAGACGAAGAATAGACGTACTTCGCCTGCTCTGTGTCATCACTGAGACCGTGGCGCTGTAATCACAGCGCCACCTGTCTCAGCGGTCACTAACTGCAGCTTCTGTGACAGCTTCTGCCATAGAAGCTGTCACAGAAGCTACAGTCTTGAGTGCTCCATAAGGCGCGCCGGACCTCCCTGCGTCCTATGGTCCGGTGCGTCTTATGGACCGCAAAATACGAGATATATATATATATATCATACATATCTATCTTTTTTTCCGGTGTAATTTAAGAATTTTTCACCCAGTGTATTGTATAACTGCTTGTGATATTTAGATTTTTTATTTCTTTGTACATGTTCTAATAATAGTGCATGTAGGAATGCAATAGTGCATAGGAACATAGCAATTACTTTTCTGGTCTTTATACTGGTCCAGAAGTCTGGAAAACACTGTACATTTTCTATCTCCCTTTCACCAAATATTAACCACAACTTTAATAAGCCGAGATTTTACAGAATCCTTTCTTAGACTTAAGTAAAAAGAATCAAATTTTGAATACTGTAGTACATACCTTTCACTCGCCTTTTTCTCTTTTACTAGAAGCTCCAGATTGTTATCATAACAAGGAGTTTTTAAAAGTTGCTTTAATCTGTCATTTACCTTAAAAATAAAGTCAAACTACATATTAAAGTAAATCCAGCAGGTATGCTTAAACAGATACATATGTATGACTATATATATTGTATTCTGTGCATTTCAAACTTATAACAGTGGGCTAAAATTAGGTGTAATAAATCTTCAAGGGGCCACATTATGTCTTAAAGGCCATAACTTACTTAATTCCAGAAAGATTATAGCATGTTGGCCATTTATATATTGTATTAACTAGGGATGTGCCGATACTGATACTAGTATCGATACAGGGCATTTTCAGGAGTACTTGCACTCCTTAAAATGCCCCGATAACGGCCCTTTAAATTTTTTAATCGGGTCAGCTGCCAAGGTCCCGCGCTTGTGGGGGTCTGAGGCAGCCTTCCGGGGACCTGGCAGTAGCTGTCTTTGACACTGCCTGCCAGGTCCCACATCTTCTCCTCTGCCTTCCCGGCTCAGGCAGAGCTCCAGGCAGCCCCACACTGCAAATACAGCCTCGGAGCAGGCACGTGACCGGCACCCGCTCCATACGGCTCACTACGTTGGGATAGAGAAAGCAAGGATAAGTCTTCTTTCTGTGGTGTAGCTGGCACAGGCTGTGCTGCAATTTGCATAATTTCATCAAGAGGTTTGAGTGTCTCCTCTTCTTCTTCTTCATCATCATCATCATCATCATCAGCGCTTAATGAAAAAGTATGAAATGATTCGTCACTGTCCACACTATCCCGGCGAAATCGGTGCGAGAGCTTTTTGGAGCCGTTAACAGAAGTGTCCGGTGTAGAGCAATTAAAGATCTTGGATTCTGAAGTAGTAGGTCCTGGAAGGGGGAGAGGATATTCTGATTCTAAACCAATGCCGCTTTCCTTTTCAGATTCTGCAATAGTCAGAAACATTTTTTTAATCAAAGATGGTACATTTATTAAAATAGAAAAGGGTATCAGTAAATACGGTACATTTCACATAATACATTGATGGTACATGAAAATGTCAAGGGTAGCACATAGAGACCAGAGATCCACATTCTCAAGCACAGGATTGCGAAATTTAAGAACAGCATATCAAGAGCTCAATGTGGGTTAATCAACGAGAAGTGATAGTTACAAGTATGTTTTAACGCAAGAACCAAGTTACAAACTATGCAAGCAACATAAGGCCCATTGTGCATTACCGCTGGAAAAAAAAAAAAACAGTTACATAGACCAGGGCTCACAATTTCAACTCGCACCCTTGCAATTGGCGAGTGAAAAATGCGTGGGGGCGAGTGGAAATGTATTCACCGAGTCAGACACTTGGTCAAAGACTGAGTGCCTGACTTCTGGAGGAGTTTGCAGCAGCTTGCCGTGTGCCTTGCCCATGTTAAAGATGGCTGCCACGTCATGAACCTTATTAAAGATGGCCACCTTAATGCAGCCATCTTTAACAGGGAAATGCACACGGGAAGCCCAGGGGAGGACTAACTGACCGTGCGCTGGAGGGGCCTTACTTATGCAGTGGGCCTGGCTTAAGCTCAAGTGCCAGGCCCCTGCCAGCAAGAAATTAGATGGGGGGCATAGAGATGGGTCTGGGTGCCCTGTGTGTGCGTGTGTGTGTATGATTGTTATGCCGTGTGTTGTGCTGTCTGTGTATGTGTAATGCTGCGTGTATTGTTCTGTGTGTATAATGCCTAGTGTGTTGTGCCGAGTGTGTGTTTGTGTTATGCCTTTGTGTGAGTTCTTTATGTCAGAGAGAACCCAGAAGGGCTGCAACCAACTAAATTGATGAATCGATAATATAATAATCAATTATGAGAATAGTTGTCAACTACTCTCATTATCAATTAGTTGGTTGGATCCTCTAGCTCTCTCTCCTCCACGCTGGGAGGGGGGCACAGCAAGCAGTGGGCGGGTGAACAACAGCCAGACTGCTATTGCAGTTTGAAAAGGCCAATAGCAGGCTGGCTATTGCACCTGCCCACTACCTGCTGTATTTACATTCAGCTGCCGTCTGCAGGATCTTGCCACTGGCAGCTGTCATTCCCTGGCTGAAGCTACTTAAGCGCGATGTGCTTACAATACAATTATAATAAAATTTAAAAAAATATGCATGTACACCACAGTCAATCAGGTAGCTCTGGTGGATATAAGAAAGTCAATCCTGGAAGGGTTGAAACTTTACATCTGGCATTGAACTGAGTTTCCATGGGGCACCTGTCCTCTACTGAATTGGTGCCCCTTATGATGGCTTTTATTATGGCTTGCCACAGATTTTTCAACTTCAAAACTTCACGCCACCCACCACTGCTACTATTCAAAGCCCAAAATCTGCATACTTCTTGTAAATACAATATATTTAATTCCAAATAATTAAAAAAAGTGTTTTAAGCAGATTGTTGGTGTGCTCTGTTTATATCTGGATTTTTCAGTAACCCCAACTGTTCCAGGATGGATAAAGACAGAGCAGTTATTGGCTCTTTCCCTTGGATCCATCTAGACATAATGTTATCCATGCACTACCTGTGTAAATATTACTTCTGTAGTAACCCACAGAAAACTACAAGAAAGCAGCTTATTTTACTAACTGCTCGGACTTTCATGTATGCCTAGAAAGACACAAATTTAATTTACTGCTGAGGAATACCGTCATTCGCACTATTAAAGCGTATCTAAACCCAAAAACAAAAATGCAATCCTAAGGCCTCATTTACACAGCATATGGTCAGGCCGTACAGATCCGTGCGGCATGCACGGCCATATCGGGCCGTTCCTGGGAAGGGCAGGTGCTGCGATTGTAAGCAGCAACCTTTTCTTCCCTATGGGAGGACAAAGCCGTACGCCGTCATACGCTCACCCGAGCTGCACATCTGTGCGGGTGCCCATGCTTGGACGCAGACAGGATCCATCCTATTTGCGCCCGAGTACGGACACACGCACCCACAGCTCAGGTGAGCGTACGGCCGCATCCTCCCATAGAGAAGAACAGGTTGCAGGGTTTGGTTACCCTTTAACTACCTCCCGGCCAGCCGTTGTGTATACACGGCCGGCCGGGAGCTTCTTCAGGGGGGTCCTAGGTGACATTAGGGGTTTTGGAGACCCCTGATGTCTCCATAAAGAGGACATGTCACCTCTTTTGCCATCACATAAGGGGGTTTCTCAGCCCCCTCTGTGATGGCAATAAAGTGGAAAAAAAAAAAATAGTAAAAAAATGTAACGTTGCCCCCCCAATTTTTTTTAAGTTACACAAAAAGTCCCCACCCCTACATACACGCATGTAAACATGAGTCAGGTGCGCATACCTGCGAAAACGACGATTGCACCCATTACGCCGCACATGTTACATATCGCCGCGAACGTCGGAATGAGAGCAATAGTTCTAGGGCAATCAATCACTGATAACACTAAACTGATGAGCGGTAAAAGCTTTTAAAGCATCGCCTATGGCCAATTTTGGGTATGCTAGCTTTTTGCGAGTGCGCACAATTTTTAAGCTTGAGATGTTTGGTGTCTATTTACCCGACGTGACCCCGACTTTTATATTTTACCAAAAGAGTTGGTAATATTAGTTGTTTTATAACATAACAAATTTTCAGTAATTTCTCCTGAATATAGTAAAAAATAAAACCCCCAGTGGTGATTAAATACCACCATAAGAAAGCTCTATCTATCCCCAAAAAAATGGTATAAAATTCATTTCAGTACAGCGTTGCATGACAGAATAAAGGTCAGTCAAAGTACTGCAGCGCTGAACACTGAAAAATGGCCTGGCCAGGAAGGGGGTCTAAACACCTGGTCTTCAAGCGCTTAAAGAAGCCCAAAATAGTTTTTCACTTACCTAAAGTAGCTGTGCCATTTGAAGTTGCTCTACTACTTGGGGATGTTCCATTCACCTATAAAATAAAACCAGAGAATTATTAAGAAAAACGTTTTCTGGTCAAAAATACACACAAAACACACTATACAAAAATCCTCCAAGTCTAAACCCAGTGCAAGCATATTAGATAATGCAACACATATTGATACAACCTGCCAGTGAAAGCACAACTAAACCCAATTCATTTATATAATTTTACTTTCTTCTTGTCCATGAATTCCAGTAATAAGGATTGCATTGTAGTAGGGCTGCAACCAACGAATTGATAATAATCGATAATGAGAATAGCTGTCAACTATTCTCACTATCGATTAGTTGGTTGGTGCTATTGCACCAGCCCACTACCTGCTGCATTTACGTTCAGCTTCCGTCTGCTGAATCTTGCCACCGGCAGCTGTCATTCCCTGGCTGAAGCTATTTAAGCACCAATGCTTACAATACAATTATTAAAAAAGAATTTAAAACGGTGGGAAAAAGTCATTTTCGGTTTCGGCCTGACAAATTCTGCTGTGGGAGGTGTGTTGCAGTGCCATTTATTTCATTGACACTCCAAATGCACCTCCCACCCACAGTGTGATCACCTGCACCGGAACGAGCGGTACCTCGATGCCGTGCGTTCCAGTGCGGTGGGATTGGAAAAAAAATTGTGCATGCAGTTTCATTCTGAAGTAAACTTTTTTTTTATATTTTTAACACTACATTTCCATATTTTATTTCAAATTAAGGATGGTATTTCATTTTCTTTTAATCCAATTAATTGAAAAAAAACAGTCGGCCAACTAATCCATTATGAAAATAATCATTAGTTGCCGCCCTACATTGTATTCCCAATAATTCTGCAAACTTCACTTTTTTGATGTCTCTGTAGAGTTACATAAATAATTAGCACTACTAAGTGCCAAGGGGGTGTGGTCTTTTCTAATGACATAGCAATTCCCACATAAGAATGGTGGGTTCCTTGCCTTCCTGTAATCTCAGGAGAAGACGTAAATTCATTTTATTGAGCTCTGCATTCCTACTGATCTGAAACATTGTAGTCATACCTTAATGGATGTGCTATGACACCAGTGCTCACCAGCAGACCACAGAGGCCAGTCGTGCTAGAGAAGGGCCCAAACTGTGTTTCAAACAGCAGTCCATTAGTGGAAAATTGGTATCAGACCTACATTTTCTTTTTTTGATTGCATAGATGAAGGGCTGAATCACAGAAACAAGCCATTGTTTGGAAAACACTAATCAATTGGCTTAAAATGCCTGTTTATTACTGGAATTACTTATAACCAGGAACTAGTTGGCCTTCAATAGCTTTTGCAAATACAGGTTGCAATTTCTAAGGTCAGCTAAAACAAACATTAACAACATTCACAACACAAGAAAATTGATTAAAAAAAAAAAGAAAACTACAAACCCCAAAAAATAAACTACAAAGCCAAATGCAACCATACCTTTGAAAGTAATTCATGTTTCTCTGCTTTCCTCAGACTAACGGCCTGATGAGTGTTTTTCTTCTTTGTTATTCCTCCGTGGGACCTGTTACGGGATGCCCAGGAGTCTACTAAGAAAAACGGTTGCTGAGGACCGTGACCTCTTTGTCCACTTACCGGGGTTTGGCTCCTTTCATCGAAAAACTGCTGATTAAAGTGAGATTTTTCAGAAACTGATAGCGGTCTTTCATTTCTAGACTGTACACAACTCTTTAAGGAGGACGGGCTTTGAGTGACAGCCTCTGCACTGATAGAGAATTTTTTAAACCCTTCTTTTAAATTAACCACTGTGCTCTTGGGTAATGTTAGTCTCTCAATCACCACCTTAGGAGATAGTACATTCATGCCACATTTTGCACAAAAAGTCTGCACATTTCTTACAATTGCTTGTTTCTCTTTACTCCTTAGAAAGGCTTCTATGATGGGGCTCTTGCTGGGTGACTGCTTTGGGATTTTCCTTTGCCTTTTGAATGGTGGAGATTTGTTAGACGCACAAGGGTCCATATCTTGAGTCTTAAGGCGCTTATTGGCAATGGGGTTATTAAGCGCATTTTCATCTGTGGGACAGAAGGCTTATATGAGTATGCAATGGTTACAGAGAATATCACAATAAAGCTGTTCTGGCATACAAAAGTCTACAATACATACCCAATGTGCAAGTCGGTTTAAAGAAATCGGTTATATGTTGCTTTCTGAAAGGAAAAAAGAACATATTAAACATTATAAACAAATTAAAAACTATTCCCAGTCAGCACTCTCCTGTATCTTTTCCAGAATTAAAGTGCATCTGAACCCAAAAACAAAAGTGTAATATACTGCAGCTTACCATTTGCCTTTTTCCAGCTAAGAACATTTCAGAAAGTTCAGAAAATGTGGTGTCCTTGTCACCCGTTGCAATGACAGAATAAACAATGTTCTCTCGTTGAAAAATACTACTAATTAGGGATGCACCGATACTGTTTTTTTGGTATCGAATACCGATATTTTTTTTTTGGTACTCGACGATACCGATACTGGAAGTCCCCCTAAGAAAGCCAGGCGGTGTGTAATGACTCGCCACCTGGCTTCCTGATTAGCATGGAAGCCGTCTCCATGCTCCCTCGTCGCCTTCTGGCCAGTCAGGAAGCCGGGCGCTGTGCATTGACTCCTTGCCCAGCTGATTGGCCGAGAAGCTGGCTCAATGCTCCCTCGTCACCAGGTGACGAGGGAGCATGAAGCCGGCTTTCTGGCCAATCAGAAAGCCGGGGGCCAGGTAATGACTCGTTGCCCAGCTTACTGATTGGCTGGCTTCCCGACCAATCAGGAAGCTAGGCAGTGAGTCACTACACGCTGCCCAGCTTCCTGATTGGCCGGGGAGCTGGCTCCATGGACGAGGGAGCATGGAGCCGGCTTCTCAGCCAACCAGGAAGCTGGGCAGCATGTAATGACTCGCTGCCCGGCTTCCTGATAGCGGAAGCTCAGGTATTGGGCTAGGCATCAGAGCATTTGGGCGAGTACGAGTACCAGCCAAATACTCGGCATCGATACTGATACTAGTATTGGTATCGGTGCATCCCTACTACTAACTAATCCCACCATGTAACAGAGATTAAAGAAGAACTATGAGGTGAGTGATTTTCACTCAACCTCATAGTTCGAGCCGACGTGTGACAATGAAACTGTCACACGTCGGCTCAATAGATCGGGAAGTCAGCGAACACATACCGTTGCTTGCTCACTTCTCGATCATGTCCCTGCAGAGAGCCGTGACTGTCACTCACAGCTCCCTGCTCCCCCTCCCATGTCCGATCCTCTAGCGCTGACTGGCGGAACGGACGGGGAGGGGGCGGGAACAGCTGACTCTGCCTCTAGATAGGCAGAGCCAGCTGTCACTCACACAGCTGGGTGGATCTCAACAGTAATGTCGGGATCCGTCTCGGCTGCGGCGGTCTCAGTATACCGCGAGCTGTAGCTCGCGGTATACTGAGCTTTGGGTCACGGGAGGACGCTAGTTTATGTCCTCCCGTGACCCTTAGGAGAACTATGGGGAAAAACACTTACCCCATACTTCTCCTTTAACAAAGGCAGATATGTCCAGCCTGAGTGACAACCATAGCTCCTTCCTTACATACCATGGAAAAGTAAGTGTAGACACAAAACGATAGGAAGTGTGCTATTCACAGCATTGTCAGGTAATATAATGGGGAAAAAGCTTTAAAAAAAAAAAAAAAAATGAATGCAGCTGCCACATCGAAGGACTGGTAAGATGCAGTATATAAATTTTTTTTGAGCAGTTTAGATACACTTTAACAACAATAATAATAAAGCAGAATTTCTAATACTGAAAAATATACTATGTAAACAACAACAAAAATGTAGGACCTGCGTTGACGAGCTTTTGCATTCCTATACAAGTCTATAGGCATATACAAAAAACTGCTTGAAGCATGTCAACTGCAGGTCAAAGAATTCTTAATGATCTCTGGGACAGTTCAAACTGATGCCATCATTACAAGCCCACAGCTCATTGAGACAGGCCCTTAGGCTGGGTTTACACCTAGGCATATCGAATATGCGCGTTTGCCGCGTGTATTTACCGCAATTCGAGGTTTAAAAAACGCGTGACAAACGCGCGTTCCCGAGGGCTATCCGGCTGTATCCTAATGGATACACGCGGCAAATACGCCCCAAAGAAGCTCCTGTACTTCTTTGGGCGTAGGGCGTTTTGCAGCGCGTTCCTACGAGCTGTAAAATGCCCAGGTGGGAACCTTGCCCATAGGCAATCATTGGTTTTCACATGTTGAGCGTTTTATAGCGCGTAGAAAGGCGCTGTAAAACACCCAGGTGTGAACCAGGCCTTATGGTTGGCCCTCAGTTCAGTAACAATGGGGAAGGTTCCACCTTTATTTAAAAAAACAAAAACAAAAAAAAAACCACCACATACAGCAACACCAAAACATTATTTATTTAATTTCAAATCCATGTTGATGTTATTAGAAAACAGACAAAACACAAAAGCAGAAAAGATAATCAGATGAGACAAAAAAGAAACACAAATGTTTACTAGAGGACTGGAAGGGTGAAAGCAAATCATTATGCTACAATAAAAATAGCACACAAACAAGCTCTAATCCCATGAGCCCAAATCGCTGAGTGAACTGAAAAGACGCTGTACAAGAGTACGAGGCGCAAAGACGAAACTGTTTTATACAAATACACCCTCAGCAAGCACTTCGTACTGGACACCTGCACACCTACCTCTTTCTTCTGCATTTATCCGATCAGTCAATCATAGGTATAGCATCCTATCATTATTATTATTATACAGGATTTATATAGCGCCAATAGTTTGCACAACGCTTTACAATATAAGGAAGACATTACAGTTACAATACAATTCAAGACAAGATGGTAAGGAGGGCCTTGCCCGTGAGGGCTTACAATCTAAAAGTCATCCATTTAGTGACTGTGGGGATGGCAACATGGCAATCAAGGCTTTGCCCCAGCACTGAGCAATGTGATCTTGTCTTAACGTGCAATAAATGAAGTGCCCTGATGTTACCTCTACCTGAATGAGAGCAGAATCGCATCTGGCTACCTCCTGTTCTACCACAGCTCCCAAATAGAGTATGGTGGCCAAAGGATCAGCATGATTGCCAGGTAACTAGCATGTTCAAAAGGAGGTCTATAGGTTCATTTTAATGGCATGTGTTTCTCTTTTTTTTTTTTTATGTTAAATAAGAACTCCGGTTAAAATTGTATTAACTCTCTATCAGTGGGGCTAGCCCCATACTGCAAGGGTTAAGTGCTCGTTTGCATCTAGCAAAAAAAAAAAGGTTATACTCGTCAGACCATCCAAGCCGGCTCCCTGCTTCTATGATCACTGAAGTGTGTCTCCTTATCCATTGCACAGATGGACTGCTCCTCTGCGTCTTCAAGTGTCTATGCACAGTCTATGCACAGTCTATGCACAGTCTATGCACAGTCTATGCACAGTCTATGCACAGTCTATGCACAGTCTATGCACAGTCTATGGATATCTGACGGAAAAAATCTCATCAACTCCATTATACAGAGGTGAGGTGTGAACAATGCTCACTGATAACAGTCAGAAGGGGCAGAGAAAACAGGAAGTTATCAGCTCAGATTTCAGGT